AAAGGCGGTGCCATTCCTAGCCCGGGTTCTCCCTGTGGTGTGTTTCCCTCCTGATACTTGCACAGCTGCAAGCACAGCCGTATTCCCTGCTGGCATGTGTGATTCGGGTTACCTTATAAACCCAGAGGAAGAGTTTATTAACATGGCTGTGGCTGATAGATCCCTCTTATTTCCAGTAGCCAGGACCAGGTTTGGTAGGGTCGGGTAGCAGAGCATAACCACCCATTGTGAGTCCTTTTGTGCAGACTCACAAGCCGCAGTTGCGAGAGGCGGCAGTGATGCTGAGGTAAGGAGGACCAGAAGATGGAATTCCCCCCTTGTGCTACTATAGCAACTGTTTCCATGGGAAATGGCAAACATGCAGCAGGACCGGTACAGCAGCGTGATGGAGAGGGCACCATTGGCTGAGGAGGCTAAGTAGCAGGAGGGGCTGGGGGGAAGGGATTGCTCTTGAGAAAAGCAAGTTGCCGCCAGCCAAGAGGTGGGCGACTAAGCAGGTGAGGAAAATCCTCCACTATCCTTCCAACTTGGTAGGGTAGACACCCTTCTTCCCTGGATTTTTCCAGGGGCGGTTACAACTTCCCCCATCCTCAGCATGGGCCAGGCCAGGAAAGAGAATAGTTCAACACCTGGAAGGCACCAGGTTAAGGAAAACTCTAGGTGTTATCTGAGTTGCCTGTTAACCAGGCCTCCCTATCCGTCCATGCTCTTCCAGCATTGCAAAATTCTACCCTTTGCAGAGGGGACATTCTGGTTAACAGGCCAGTTAAATGTGAGCTTGGTTACATGCTTGTTAAATACTCTAGGTGTGTAGCTGGTGCTAAATTGTACTCAACCCTCAGAACTACTCAAGAAACAATCGATCAACCCTTCCACATGAAACTTAATACAATATTGAATGGGATACTGCAAGGTTCAGTCCTAGGCCCTTTGCTTTTCAGCATGTTTATTAGTAATTTGGATGAAGTGGTGGAGGAAATGTTTATTAGATATGCATATGGCACAAAACTGGGTGGGAAAGATAATAGACAAGGAAACAAAATTCAAAACATCTTGGATAGGTTAGAGAAATAACTGAAAATAACACAATGAAATTTAGTGAAGGCAAACCTGAAGGTCTTTGTTCAAGAAACAAATGCAAAATATAGGATGGGGGATATCTGGCTTGCCAATACTTATGAAGAAAAACCTTGGGATCGGTGCCCTAGAGTTGGGGACAGATGACATGGAGGAATGCTTACAATCCTGACCTCAGTTGTAATTAATAGCTCTTCCAAGGTGATTCTAATAATGTCTTTGAGCCCATCCATCAACATCAGTTGTGTTCCCCCTTGTACTTCTCAACCTTGCCAAGCATATTCATTTCACGTCACCTGCCCAAAGTTCGTGAGTTTCTGCTTGCTGTTCTTCACCTCAGGAAATCAGTTAGCCTTTATTTGGCCCAGGATTGATTGGGTCTATCTGCAGTTGCTATTAGTAATCATTAGTAGTCATTTACAGATACATAACATCTTCTTTTGCTTGCTCTCTAAATGACTAGCTTTCACAGCCATACTTTATCACTGGAAAAACACTGCTTTAGCTATTCTGATCTTTGTTATTGAAATGTCCTTATCATTCATGTTCTTGTCTATCATTGCCTTCTTCCCCTTCTTCTCCAGCTGGCTGTCCATTTTATGTATTCTTCAGCCCAAGACACAAAACAATCTACCGCTTTCATTAATTTGCTATTATAGTTCACAAAGCATGATGGTTGATACCTTCTTAATAGTTAACATTAATCTAGATTTTTCACTTTCCAATTTTACTTTCATAATAAGCTCTTCTAAGTTGTTTTTTTTTTCTTAGCTAACAAGTGCTATTGTCTGCATGTCAATTGTTAGTTTCAACTGTTAGTTGATTTGTAGCCATCATCTCTTACACAATTCTACATTTTTGTATAAATTAAACAAAAATGAAAGCAACATACATTCTTGTCTCATTCTAGTTCTCCAAACTCAGTTCTTGCCGTATCATCTGGTTTGCGGGAAAGATTCCACCAAAGAATGCTCGGGTGTTCTGGCACAACCGTTGGCTTTCATGTGTTCTGCATTCTGGCATGGTTTACCCAGTGGCCTTGCTCTAGTTAATGATGAAAATAAACTGCCACACATCCTCTTCCTCTCTCCATTATCCATCTTAGCTGCCATAACTATCTGATCTCATAACCCTCTGCCTTTGCTGAAGCCTGTCTGTTCATTTGCTACTTCTCTCTCCACATATTCATCAACTCCTCTTTGTAAGATCTTGACCAAAAATCATTTGTGTGAGGAATTCGTACAATAGTTCTGTAAGTTGCACATTCTTTTATAACTCCTTTTTTATAGTGTTATGCAGGCCCTTTTCTTCCAGCCTCTACGCTATGCGGTTTAGTCCCATATTTGTTGACATTGAGTTTTTCGTTTCTTAGCTGCTGCTTCTGCTGCAGCTTTCGCTGTTTGGTGGGTATTTTATTGGAGGAAAACACCTGTGCCTGGTGCTTTCCTATTTGTAGTCTATGCTTATAATACCTCACTTTCGAGCCGCGTCAGTTCCTGAATATATTTTCTGTCTACAAATCTTCCTGTAGCCTTGTTTGCAAAGAGTTTCTGTGTTATCTTTCCAGAGAATATGAGTCAGCTATGTCAAGTGGCTGCAAAAGCAGTTTTAGGCTGCATCAACAGAAGTATAATTTTGAAATCGTGGGATGTAACTGTTCACTTTTATCTGCACTGGCCTTGAGGACAAATAAGGCTCCAGAAACAGAGCCCTTTCAAACAAATGAGAAGACCAAGGGAGAATGTGAGTCTCTCAACACCTGAAAGGATCTCACACAAATGGTCAAGAACTGTCCCACAGCATGACACCGAATACAGGTAGTCCTTGTTTAGTGACCACTGTCAGGTTCGGTCAGCACGAGGTTTCAGGGAAGCACGGGGCTGCAGGGAAGCTCGCAACCAGACCACGCGGAAT